GTAGGAATATCTACCTTGAGTTTAAATTCATCATTATTCCTACGGGGATTGAAATTACTTTGATTGTGCCAATTTCAACCATTTCTGTCGTTGCCGGGAAGAATTGGAGCATCACCAAATTTCAGATCATCATCACTGTCGTCGTCCAGGACTGGTCGTCGTAGCGCAATATGAACAGGTGGTCTGCCGTGGTCGTCTCCCTCGATTAGCCATCTCTACCAACTGTTGCTCGATGTTACGTGTGGYTGTACGCTATTCTTCGATTGCTCTCCAAATAGCTGGAAACCCCTGATCTCCGTCACGGGGTGGGTTGCGACTGCTACCGTCTGGGTTGGACATGACTGGGCGAATTCCCTACTCTGATACCACCTGACGCAGCGTGGAAGCAATGAGAACCGGAGCTGGCTATGCAAGCACCGGGCATTCGCTAGTTCCTAGCGAAGAGCACCAAATTCTCTAGGAGAGAGAAAAGGTGGCGAAAATAGGAAGAAGAGAACAAGAAGAAATTCTGGAAATTGAGAAGTCTGCATTGATTCATTAACTGGAAAATAGCAGTATTTATAATACATCTGGAAATTGAAATTGTAAAAGAACTGGAAATTATAAAAGAATTGGGAAAGAACAACTAGGATAGATCAAAACATCTAATCTAGATAGGATCGAATTCCTCTTTGCCTAATCTCCATCGTCCGATCTCCCTAGATGCATGAATCTTGAATTATCTTGCTAATCTTGATGCTTCTTGGAGTCTTTCTTGATAATCTTGGAAGAGTCTTACCTTATCTTGCTAATCTTTGAAAGAGTCTTGCTTATCTTTCTTGGACTAATCTTGATGATCTTGGATTCTTGGCTCCTTCTCTATCTTGACTCTTGGATCTTGCCTTATCCTTATCCTAGAGTTGCCGCCCCTAAGGATGAAGTGGGCTTTCTTGGTATGGGCCTCCATCAATGCGTCTCGGAGAAGAACAATCTGCAACTCCCCCGTAATTATTCAACCCAAAACAGCCGCTGGTTTCTTCCTCCATCGGCCCCTGCTTCCCCTTTGTTTGAGATTGAAGAACAGGATGCGTCTCTGAGAAAAACAGTCTGAGAAAAAAAACAGTCTGCAACTTCTGAGAAGAACTCTCGTACCTTCATCTGATAAGAAGAACGGTCGGATGCTCATCAAGACTGTTCCCTTCGTTTGAGAAGAAGAGCAGTCCGAATACAGTCCGCAACTTCTCACCGGCCGCTGCTTCTCTCATCATTTGAGAAGAACGATCGAATTACTGACTTCAGTGTAGTGGGATTAATGTTGATCATTGCCATTAGATTTGAATCAAACTGAATCATATTTTTGCCTCTCTTTTTGTATGGACTGGAGAATCCACGCTGCTGACTCAGTTGCAGATCTACGATTGTGAGGCACCACCTTGATTACTCTTGTCTGCTGATCACTACTTTGACTCTGGAGAACTAGATTCTGAACCTGCACAGCTGGAGCCATGGGAAAAAGAGGAAGTGGATCTCTTCCTTCGGCAACATTATTTGCCCCAGTGCTCCGTGTCCTCTCACAAGGACGGATTGTTGTGCTCCCTTGGAGTTCCCTATCTATGGACATCTGAAACTTCCAATTTGCATCCCTACCCCTGTGAAAAACAATGCTAGCATAAGTTTAAAAGCAATAAGTTACATAAACAGTCATAAATCAAGAAACTAAAAGTTGTGGTCTTAAGGAGGAATTTATCTTGAGCTCAGTGAATTGGAGAATTGAATACTACTTTTGGGTGGAACCATAAGCCATTAGTTCTATGACTATGCATTTATCAATGATTAATATAGGAAGAAAAGAGACCACATGGAAGTTCATTGGAGCAAGTCTCTCCACAAATGTATTTCTTATGAAGCTCCACGGTGCAATGAATTGAGAATACAATTTCAATTTTGAATGTTCATTTGTCCATTCTGAGCACCCCTACAGGGACTTGGGGCAATATAAAAGCTGCCCAAATTGGAGATATGACTATTGGAACAAGGGCATTGCGGCCACTTTATACACTGAACTATATAAACACATTTCTGATGTACACAACCTATTTCTCTTTTACAGTGAAATTATCCCCATATTGTGCAACAAATGTGCTAATTTAACAATCCTTACCAGATTACTTTCTACATTGACTACAAAGGACAATAATTGGTCAAGCAATAACATTAATCATCCTTTGGACAGGAACATATAAATTGACACTTAGCAGAAAATATAGCAAGACTACAAGGCTCTAGAAGGCAAAGCCTGAGATGAGGAAACTAGATGCAATTAAAAAATTTCCGTATGGTATTGGCTGAAACCATCTTCTGAACACTTTTGACATTTAGTCAAAGTAAAAGAGGATTAAATAAGCAGTGACCATACAAGTAGATGTCTGGATGGAATTAAATGAACATGGATCAGAAATTTCAAAACACCTTGCTTCCGTTTCCGTTCTATACCAGTGATGAACCTCCAACCCTAACCTTCAAAAGAGTCTCTTAAAGCAGTGAGATACTCTGGGTTGAGAGCAAGAACACTCTGTTTTTTTTTTAACTGGAGAGGATAGATCTCATTCCCATTTAATTCTTTCATCAATCACATGTGACTAAGAAGACCAAGAAAATTTTCGTTCACATCTAATTAGTCCATCATGTGTGACTAAGAAGAACAAAAAAGGGTAAAACATAAAACAATGTTGATTGCTTGGAGAAACAGAAAAAGTAACTACCAAGTTTCAGAATTGAAGACCATGTTCCCTCGCAGCATTAGCAAGGGCTTCAACACGCCCATGGTAAGGGTAATCACACCGGTCAAATGCTACCTTTGTGATTCCTTTCTCCAAACAGTTCTTAGCAATGATTTCACCAACCCTCTTTGCCACTTCAACTGTAGGTCCAGAAGAATAATCAAATTCTTCAGATATGGGTTTCTGCATTGTTGAAGCTGAAGCAAGGGTGTGCATCTTAGTGTCATCGATCACCTGGACATAGATATGCTTGTTGGAGCGAAAGACAGACAACCTTGGCCTCTCTGGTGTCCCTTCAACCTTCTTTCTAATACGGGCATGTCGAGCAAGCCTGTCTTCCCTCCTGGTTGTGGCCTTTGCTTCAATAACCAGAGATGGACTTGCTTTCGCTGCTACGAATTTGGGTCCAAGAGTGAGTTGTTGCGAAGAAGCGAACGCACTGTGAAGGAAGGAAAGAGAACCAGACATGATTTCTCCTCTCTCTCTCTCTCTCTCTCTCTCTCTCTCGCTCAGAGTACACTCTCCGGTCTCGACACTCTCGCTCACTCGGCTTGCTATGCCATTTTGGGCGCTTAAGGGCATTTCGGTAAAAAAAATGGTTTAACAGGTTAAGTCACCATTCAGGGACAGTTTAGTCATAAAATATTCATTTATTTAGACTGACGTAGTCATTCAAGTGGTGTAACGGATGGTGAGTTTTGAAAAATAAAATCTCACTTATATGATGAATTTTTGACGTTGCAAAAAATTGTGGTAAGTTTTAAGAGAATTCGAAAAAATTGATGGTGGGCTTTGGACAATTTCCTTTTTTTTAAAACGTCCACTTTTCAAAATTCAGCCGTCAGAACAGCGTTAATGTTTATCGACAGAAATTATCCATGTCAGCATAAATACAATTTTTACGATTAAAATACCCTTAAATAGCGAATCAACCTTATTAAACATAATTTTATTTTATGGACAATCTACTGTTCATCGTCCCGAACAGCGGCGGTGATCAGCGATCTTCCCCTTTCCCTTCTCTCCCCCATCATCATTCCTCATTTTTCTCTCAGTTTCTCTCTCCCTCTCTCTTCCTAACCTCCATCGAGCTGAAACGTCAATCGAAAGCACTGTTTTTCGTCTTCAACTTCGAACTCGAACAAGTTGTAGCGGTAAAACTTCTCTCCTATTCTCACTCATCTCCAACATAAATCCAACCATTTTCTTCCCTCACTCTCTCCCTTCACCCCTTTACCGCGTCAGGCTTCTCCAATCATCCATCAACTTACCTAGAACAGAATCTACTGTAGCAACCGTCGTTCGAGCTTTCGTCCTTAATCGGCCTACGAAACTCGTACCAGCTTTTGTTGTTTGAGCTTCCACTAAGCGTCTAGTCGCAATCCACGGAAACCATCGCTATTCGAGGAAAAATCGATTGAAATTCCCCTGGGTGTTTGACTGCCAGTTTTACGTTTTTGAATTAAAGAAAGATGAATTAAGTAATTACTTGCTGTAAAATCGTCGTCTGAAGTTTTTGGGATGAACTTCAATCTTGCCTCTGAAAATTTCCCACGACTGAAAATGTGTATTTTTGGAGTCCTACTGTTTTTTGATTTCGAAAATGTGATTGATGCTCCTTAAATGAGTGTAAACTTTGAATTGTGCTTCTTGTTTATATCATCGTGATCATTGATCTTATCAACAGTCATCAATGGTCAGTAATACACCAAAATCAAGCATAAAGTGCGAACAAAATGCATCTCATTGTGCTGCACACACGTGCATGTTTATTGCGTAATATCAAACCCCCATACGCTCATCTACTATTTTTAAGAATTGTAAATCAGTTCCTATTGAATCACTGAAAACAAAGTTTATAATTTTTCAATGTGGGATAAGGTCAAAACTGAATTTTGTAAGAAAAATTAATTTTTCAATCAAATCCATCGAATTTAATCTCTTATGATATTAAAATCCAACAATATTCTTTTTAAAAATACCATTGCAGAAAACAATAAAAAAATAAATAAACTGCATTTCAGAAGAGCACCACTGAAGTTAGAAGAAGCCGCGCGATCAACGGAACCCATTAACGGTATTGAAGTTACACGAAACGTAAACCCTCCGGTGCAAAGAGATAAGATTGAGTGTCAGTACATCAGGTGCAAAGAGATGGTTTTGGGTCGAATATAATTAAAGGTAAAATAGTATTTTAAGAAACAGTCGTTAGTTTGTTTAACACCAAGTTACTGACATGTGAAAGCGTCTCACCTTTTCACAACTTTGAGTGTAAATAGTACCCATTATCCACCCTAAAAAAACTTCAATTTCACATGATAATGAAACCTTTGACAATGCTCAAGTGGCTAAGTTGATTTATTCATCGTTTTATCTTTTAATGTATAAAATATTTTAAATTTAAGGGTAAACTTCTTAAACTTTATTTGGAATTGGAGAAGGATGTCTACCAACAACAGTTCTTCCTTATCACTCACAAAGCCTCTCTGTGTATGCTGCCATCCACCCCTCCGAGAACCCAACTTGTAAATTTGTCTCAGGCCATTGATGTAGAATCCCCACACCTGGAAACTCCTCGACAAAGATACCCCACACCCGAAAGCAAGCCAGTCATTACCGATGAAGAAACCCCACACCCGAAAACTCCTCGACAGAGATGCCCCCGACCCCAACGAGTCTCTCTCTTCCCCGAGATTACTACCTGATTCCGTCACTAACCCCTGCCATCGCCCGACAGTGGCAGCTAGAAAACCCATGTCAACCTTCGATTCCTCCATGGCTCTGATGTGGTGGTGCTCCTAACGGCTATGTTCTTCATGGGTTTCTTTTCCGTCTACATCCGCCACTTCGTGGAGGAGAACGCCTTGAAAAAAAATTCTCAGAGGAACCGAATTGTTCCTGTACTCCTCTTCTGTAGAAGGCTTCACTGGATCACCATTGAGCTCCTTGGACTCCTCTGTTCCTACAGATTGTACCGAGTTGTTCTTGGACTCCTCTTCTGTCGCAGGTTTTACTAGGTAACCAGTAGGTTCCTGTGTTCCTACAGATGGTAGCAAAATGTCCTTCAGCTCCTCGATGTCCGCGAGTTTCCCAATATCAATATGGGCTCCACCTCGAGAAGATGTTCTACCAAATCGCTCGTCGGCTCCTCTTCGATTGAAGATTTCACCTCATTGTTTCCTCTTATGCCGCAAGACCCAGATCACGGACCAGAGATCTCAGACCTTGTGCATTAAATTAGTTGGTCTGGATCACCGGTTGTAAATGCACAAGAGAAGAATAGATCACCGGTTGTAAATGTAGCTAGAAAAACAACTGGTAAATTAGGGCAACTGTTGTAAATTAGAGCAACCGGTGATCTGTTCCCAACTGTTGTAAATGCACACTATGAACAGATCATTGATTTAATGCACACTGTGATCTGGTCTGATTTGAAAGAGAAGAGAACAACTGGTAAATTAGGGCAACCAAATAAACACTGGGAACCATCTTCCCAACTGTTGTAAATGCATAAGAGAAGAACCAACCTCCGGCCGGTTCAATATTTAACATTCATCGTGAAGTTTGATCTCTCTCTTCTTCCTGGGTGACGGCAGTGGCACTGTCCTGTAACTCTACCCAGAAGTTCTGACAACATCTAAACTCGAAGGATTGTTTAATCATTTTGCATTATTTTTTACGGAGGTTAGTGATAAGAATAAAGTTAGTCATCAGTCAATTTTCAAACAGTAAAGGTATAATTAGTCAATTAGTTAAACGATAAGGGTAGATTAAAAACTTTACCCTAAATTTAATAATCAATCCAACTTCATTTTCATCAATTAAGACCTCATGGACTGTTTGGCGCATGAAGCTCAAGTTTGTCGGAGATCCTTCCAATGAGTTTAGGTAATTTTCCTTGGGCCTTAGCTTACATCAGTTTTGCTGATATGTGGGGACGTTCTACCCCTTTTGTGTAGCCCCTATCATTGTATAATAAAAAATAAAAAAAATCTCACCACCACCTTCATCCCGCCTGGGGGGTTATGGTTTGGGGGATGGGCTACCCCCGTTGTGTAGCCCTTCACAAGATATCAAAAAAACTTACATATATATTCGGTAAAAACAAAGTCATTCAGTTCAGCCAATGGGATCATTAACCCAAGGATTAATTTGGAGCACCATTGAAGTATACAATTGCAGCTCCACATTCACCCACTCACCACACAAGGCTAAAATCTGCTAATCATTTGATAAAGAAAAGAAAGAAAAACAAAAACAAAACAAAACTATGCCCAACTAAAGATCAAGGGTTTATATATTGACAGAAGAAATTACAACAGAATGTGAATGTGCTTTTTACATTTAATTCTCATGTAACAAGTCTGATATCCTGCATTAATCTAAAACTAATAATAAACATCAAATCTAAGTTTCTGAAGTTTGTGCTTTCCTTATTCTCCTTCAAGGTTTCATGCCATTAATTTCTTCTTCGCCATGAAGATCCACTTCCAAACTGGATATGGGGGTATAATGTGAACTTACTAGAAGTAGGGATCGACTGATCTCTTTACTCTTTATGTCAAAAACTACAATTTGTCCTTTTCTTTTCGCCTACATAACATACTTCGATCTCCCTAACAATTTCTTCTCTCCTCTGCAACAAACTGAAGACAGAGTAGAAGAAGCACAAAAGTTTCTTGACAGATGAGTTCCAAACCAAATAACCACATTTATGGAACTTCATATGAACTGTCTCCAGAGGATTACTCTTGCCAATAGTTTACAAACAGGAGAGAGGAAGCGCAACATCTCAGAACTCCTTTGGTTCAGTTTCTTCTTTTGTCTCTGAGCTTCGGCTCAAGTACTCCTCTTCGATAGTTTCCTTGAGGATGAAAAGTCTCTGGATAACAACTGGTTGAGTCATCTGCCTAGCCTCCCTAATGTCAGAATCTTCTTTATTCAAGTGATATGCATCGAGCATGATTTTAATCCATTTATGTAGTTCCTTGGGAGTACTGCACCACAAAAATGAACGAAAGTGATAAAAAGTCAATAAAATAATTAGCATTCCCTCAAAAATGGAAGAGACATATTCCTGTCAGCAACATTAGTCAAAAGTAATCTCTTTCAGAATATAGATATCACATTTCCTGTAACCACCATCGCAGGACAAACCCGAGACCCCCAGTAATTTTTGAACACACCAGTGTTTTAATCAAACACCCGCTTGATGTGATATTTTATCTTTTTCAACAAACAATGGTATGTTCAAAAATCATTGGGGGTCTCAGGTTTGTCCTGTGACAGTGGTCGCAGGAAACATAATCTCCAGAATATGGCCACTCATGCAATGATCATGATTTCAGGAGAGGGGGTGGGTAACTGGGTATAGGTGTGTTCTCTTACGTGTATAGAGCAGTGGGATCCTTAGCTTCATGTTCACCTCCAGGAGAGAAAGCAGAAGCCAATGCTGAAAATCGCTCTTCAGGATCTATGATGTTCAGCAGATGTTTGAGTAGCTTTATCTCCTTTGGTGCAATGCTTTTAAGGCTGCTCTTTGTGGTTTTATATATGTGATACATAATCTCTTTGACCTGCCGATAAGTTTCTAAATTATAAGTTTTAATCCACTGGAAACCACCACAAGCACCACTACCAACAACAATAATTAGCTAGCAGCATGGTATGCACACATATACAAACACCATCAACGACCAAAATACTAGCAGCCTGATGTCAACCAGAGCACTTAGGGATATATCAGGTATCCTTATAGAAAGCCAACTTCGGTATCTAAAATTTTCAAATGGCACTATTAGTTATCTATGTTGCCAGACAAACAGAAATATGTCAATTAAACAGATATATTTCCCTGTAAAACAAGTGGCACATTGAACATTCACATAGAAATCTGCATACATGTAAATTCTGTTTAATTCTTCAACCAAAAAAAATAGTTGATTCTGTTTAGTTCAGAAGATACACTTATATAGTAGGCTACCAACAGATCCATAGGTTTCACAAAGAAACAGAAGTGGCAGGCAAAAGTTAGAATATCATGATGGAGCACATATCAGCAATCCTAACAAAAATCCAGAATCTATTTATTACAGCATATTTTCCTAGTATGGACATTTGAAGCAAAGGAAGCACCAACTGTCATTGGAGATAATATATTTTTTGTCTACCAAAGGAAATGTCATGTCAAGTTGGACAAGTTGTAGATTAATTTCAATTTATGAAGTTGTTACAATATATATACCTCATTTTTCATGGTCGTAGATTCTTTTGCTGAAGCCCAAGCACTATTTATCAGTAGGATCAAAGAAGAATCAAGCTCTTTTGCCTTGGCCAGGCTTTTGATCTTTTCACATGCCACATCCAATGAAGGAGAGTTGAGTATATCATCAAACTTTGCTTGAGCAGCTTGTAACATCTCCACATTCTCCATTGTGTTATCATATGCACAAACTGCAGACAGACATCTGGCTCCAAGTCTAGACATTGCTGTTCAAACAAGACATATATGGGGAAAGTAAGGACAAGAAATGTGCCAATTTCAAGTTTCAAAAGCAGAAATAGGCCATCTTTACAAGATAACTGGTACACATGTAACACCGCAGAGGGAGAGAGAGAGAGAGATGTTACAAGATAACTGGAATAATGAATATTCAACTGAACTCAACAAAGCTTTACCAAAACATTTGGGGTTGGCCACATGAATCCTGTTTTGTTATCGCTCTATCAAAAGCCATGTCTCCAGACAGATTGTAAGTCCTTAGATCATTTCTTGTTACCTTGACCCATGTAACCTAAACAGGTTGGTGAGGTATCAAAATAGCTACAAAAGTATAGCTTGTAAATGAGAAACATAGCTCACTGACTAGTGACTCAGGAATGACTGAGAGACCCAGGAGTTGGGGCATCTCAATTATTATTGAGGAATTTAGAAATCAGCAGAGCTCCATTTGTTGCACAGAAAATAAAGGAAAATAAATGATTTCTTGAAATTTGCTATTTTGCGGTCTTTGGTAGCATATAAATAGCTATGGAAAACGAACATTTTCCAAAAAGTGAGTACTAATTTTAGGAAATATTCCTTCTAATTTTCTATAATTCTATTTAGTCATTTCCCTAACAGAAAATGGTCCTCTAGAAATATGATTTTTTCCTGTTAGGTATCATTTTCCAAGAAATCATTCTTTTCCTTCATTATATATGTAAGTATAATCAAATGTGGTCTGAAAGAAAAACAAGGGAGAGAACATTTTTAAGGTAACAGTATATGGAAACCTCTCTGTTCAGAAAGTAGCATCCCCCTCCTCCTCCTTTCACATTCATGCTCCAATTATTACAAGTTAAGGAATAAAGGAAAGAAAGAAATTTGTAAAAATGATAGAGTAAGTTAATTAGGTTTGAATAAAAAAATGAGTATGATGATGATGAAATATAACTCTATTTTCAGAAATACCACAGACAACAACATAAAAAGAAGAAAAGAGACATGGCCATGCATGCTAATATCTATTGATCTTTTATTTTTTATGTTGGAGACTGGGGAAGGAAGGTAGCATTTATGTTAAGATTAAGGATTCTGCTGGATGTTCCTGTCAGGCAGAGATGGACATTCTTCTGTGGTTGCTTGGAACCTCCCATTTACTGGATCCTTGAGTTGCATGTGTTTATGAACCCAACTGGTTTGTAGAACATGTCTAGTGCCAGTTTGTGAGTCAACACAAACTGATCATTTTTTGGTAGTACAAAAAAGACCAACTACACTACACTTGATGGGGAATAACTTGACCTGAAAAGCCTTTGATCACAATGCGACTTAAGTCCCTGCAGGTCTCATCATTGACTTTGATGTCTTCATTAGCTTCTTTGAAACTGTTGGCAATCAGATCAGCAGAATGGATTCTTTCCTGGTACTTATGGCTGGTCCATACCTGAATGCTGTTCTCCATCTCCCAAGCAAGCTTCCAGATGTCCTCAATTTTTTGATACATTCTCCAAGGGATTGAGGTACTTCCTAAGAGGCACACTATGACTTGAGAATCTTCTTCAGCTATATATTTCAAAGTCCTTTTATCTTTTCTAAATTGATAGCTTCCAAAGCCACTTTGGCTTCTGCAACATCTCTACATTGACTTTCTCAAAAACCTTTGCATGAGATCCTCAAACCATTAACAGTGTCTGTGGCATCTCTTGCTATTATACCTGTGGCCACATATCCATTCCTATCAAAGTTTTGATCTAGGAGCAATCCATCCAATCATTTTCTCTTTTCTACTACAATTCCAACTTTGCACATCAGCCTGTTGGGCTTGTAGAAATTCAGTAAGGGATTTGTAGGCTTTGTCAATAATTTCAGTTGGCCTAGGATCCCATCTTTGGAAGGTTTGCTCGTTTCTATTTAGTAATTTGACCTACAATAAGAAAGCAATATTCTCCCACATCCCATCTTTCCTATAGGTGTTGCTCATTCTGATCCAATAGTCAATTATGTAACCATCCTCATGCTCGTTTTTGTTTTCTAAAGGTAAATATGAAACCCATAAAGGTTGTTTGAGCAGACCCTTTATTTGACAAGAACTAAATGCACCTCTGTTGCTTTGTTTTGCATAATTTTGTCTTTAACAGTTTAGCTAAATAACTTGCATAGAAATATAAAAAAAAAAACTAATGATCAAAATACCTATCTGTAGACCTGACTTGACAATCAGTGGGAATTCTCAGTGTCTTAGAATATTTGTTATCGAAAAATAAGCAAAGCTAGAGTATTGCTGCAACAAAAATCAACAAGGATTCTACAAACTCAATGCGCTAATATTAGGACTGCAAACATCATGGTAGGTCTAATAACTAATATTGAGCTGAAGCTACCATCAAAAGGTCCTCGGTATATTACCATCACGGTCTTCGAGGCTGTCATAGGTCTCTGACAGTAGAGTGAGGTGACGGAAAAACTCTCCAGTAAAGTCTTTGCGCCTTCTTGCTACAACTGCATTAACGTCTGTTGGGTTTTCCTCTACCTCTTTGAGAAGATTAGTGTGTTTTTCCATTTCATCATCAATCTGCAATTCTCGCTCATAGAAAGCAGGAGCAATAGAGCAAGACAAAAGCAAGTATAAAAAATTAAGATACACAACGAAAAAACAGTTAGTTAAATAATCAAACAGATGCAATAGACAAAAGAAAAAGCATTACATGAGAAGAATAGATAATACCTTCTTCACCTTTCTCCGTAGTACCATCAGTCTTTGTTTCATATCTGGATCATTCTCAGAATCAGCCCGTGCCTGACACCGATAATAGAAGCTTTCCCTGTACTTTTTCCATTCCTCCCTGAATACCAAAAGCTTCCTCCAGTCCTTCGTTTGGGGTCTCTCGTTCATGAAAACATCAATCATCTTATCACAAAATTGAGTAATAGTGTACCCTTCTGCAACTTCAACCTCTACTTGGGCAGTGCCAGCGCTGCTTGCTGGAGGATCTGGACATGGTTTTGGGGAATACATATGAAAACGACATGGACAACAATCATAACCTCCCATAGAACACAAAAGACGGGGATTATAATAGTCTTGGCCTTTTCATGTTCATGAAACAGAATAGAGAAAACAGCCGATACATTCAGCTTAAGCGGATACCCATGAATTAAAATAAGAAGCAAAATACTTATCAAAATTAATCAAATAACACAAACAAGAGGAAGTGAACGAAGAACTTATGAAATAAAAAGAAGTAAAGTTTTCTGTTAATTGCATTACACGCAATTTAGAAAAATTAAACCTGTTACTGGAATAAGGCAACCCAACACATAATGAACAAACAACTGTACAAGCTAAATGACAAGTACTGAAGTAAGGATAGAAGCAGAGAGAGAGAGAGAGAGAGAGAGAAGAGAAGAGCAAGGCTTCGCTCACAACCAATTACTTACAGGTTCTGAACCTGGAGTGTATGATTTTAGGGTTGAAGCTGTGATTTCTTCTTCTTCCTTTGCTGTCTCTTGGTCCGACGAGCTTAATGGGTGCAAGAAGAGAAGTAGAAGAGATGGGGAAGAACCTTAGTTTAGAGGAGAAAAGAGCATTGTCCAATAGGGAGGTTTTGGAAGACATAGATATGTCAAGGCCTAATACGTTACTCATGGCTCCCTGATAACTTTGACCAGAAAGAAAAAGAAGAGATGGTTATCTTGAAGATAGCTTCTCCGAGCAGTGGCAAGAGATTCTTGATTTTAGTGTAGATAGAGGGGAGTGATGTGGTCACGCATTTGTAAACTTGAAAAGACCATTTTTTATCGCTGGCGCCTGTAGCTCAGTGGATAGAGCGTCTGTTTCCTAAGCAGAAAGTCGTAGGTTCGATCCCTACCTGGCGCGTTTAATTGTTTAAAACGATTTAGCTTTTACCCTTACCAAGTCCAAGAGAGTTTTGGTTTTAGTCTTTTCATCGGAGGCGTGGTCAATTTTTCCAGGGAAATTGTGGAAAATTCACCATAAATTTTTAACATTATTCTTAAATTCACCACAATTTTTCAAAATATCTAAAATTTACCATGTCAATAAGTTTTTATTTTTTAAAACCCACCTTCCCTTAGTGCATCATTAATACTTCTTAACAGAGGTGAATTTTCTTGTTTTCTTTTTGCATTTTTAGTGTTTTGTTATAATTTTTAATGTTTTTTTACATTTTTCTATTTTTTACAATCTATAAATTTTCCTGTATTTTTGTTATTTATTTATAATTTTTATTTTTTTATTTTGTTTTTCAATTTCTATAGTTTCTATAATTTGAAAATAACTTTTTTATTTTGTTTGCAATTTCTATAATTTTTTACATTTTTATGTATTTATGTATTTTATATTTGAAAACATTTTTTTGAACTTTTTCCTTTTTTCATGTCTAAATATTAAAATGATAATATATTAACACCATTTTATTGTTGGCGCCTGTAACTCAGTGGATAGAGCGTCTGTTTCCTAAGCAGAAAGTTATAGGTTCGATCCCTACCTGGCGCGTTTAATTGTTTAGAACGATTTAGCTTTTACCCTTACCAAGTCCAAGAGTTTTGGTTTCAGTCTTTTCATGGAGATGTGGTCATTTTTTCCAAGGAAATTGTCGAAAATTCACCATAAATTTTAACATTACTCTTAAATTCACAACTTTTCAAAATATCTAAAATTCACCATGTCAATAAGTTTTTATTTTTTAAAACTCACTTTCTGTTAGTGCATCATTAATACTTCTTAACAGAGGTGTTCATATCAACATAAATAACAATTTTCATGACCAAATTACCTTTGAATGGTGAGTTAGAGGAAAAATGGTCTTTTTCAGTTCTCAATTTTCTTGTTTTTTTTTTTGCATTTTTAGTGTTTTGTTATAATTTCCAATGTTTTTTTACATTTTTCTATTTTTTACAATCTATAAATTTTCCTGTATTTTTGTTATTTATTTACAATTTTTGTGTTTTTCTACAATTTTTATTTTTTATTTTGTTTTTCAATTTCTATAGTTTCTATAATTTGAAAATAATTTTTTTATTTTGTTTGCAATTTCTATAATTTTTTATTTTTTTTTGTAATTTTTATGCATTTATGTATTTTATATTTGAAAACATTTTTTTGAACGTTTTCCTTTTTTCATGTCTAAATATTAAAATGGTAATATATTAACACTGTTAATTTATTTTGTATATATTTTATATTTTTCTATGAAGGTTAAAATGGTAATATATTAACACCCGTTAGTTTGTTTAACGTTAAGTTAGTGACATGGTGAGTTTTAGACATTTTGAAAAGTTGTGGTGAGTTTAAGAGAAATGCTAAAAATTCATGGTGAGTTTTAGACAATTTCCCTTTTTTCAAAAATTGGAGGTGCGACAAGTCTTGCATTGGGAATATCACCCTATTTATGTACTTTATTTTATAGGTAAATATTCTCAATGCAAAATTACAAGAGGCTTTCCCTGATCGAAGCCGAACTCTGCCTTGCTTTATGCTTCAATTGAAATATTCAAAACTATAAAATTGATGAGGCTCAGCTTGGAAGGAGTACAAATATAAATACGTAGAGTGCAAATATAAATATTTGTATTTACACTCTTTCCAAATTGAGCCTGAAACACAAATCCACCAAAAGTTTTTTATTTTTCTGTGAAAATCCATCAAATACTTAAAAATTTTGATTTTGATCACTAAAGGGGTGTTCGACAACCTGGTTGGTTGTTGTGAGCATGGTTTTCAAACTGTCGTTGACCTACATGGTCAGACCATTCGGCCCAAGAACCGTCCAGGTAACCAGTTCCGTTTTACCCCAAACCTGATCTTTGACAAAAAACCATTGAATCAGTCAATGACCCATTGACCCGGATGGTCGAATCGTCGACCCGTTCAATGTTTTTTAGCTGTTTTTTATTTTTAATTATTTTTTACTTTTTATTGTCACAATAGGCCATCCATTCAAACCGAATGATCAAACCATTGACCCTGAAACTAGTGACCGAAACGATTTCTTTTCCGGTCGTTTTTTAAAACCATGGTTGTAAGTTGTCTAACACTCCCTAATTGTGGGATCCACCCCTCCCCCTCACCCCTTTTGTAAGCAATGTTTTGAGAGGCTTTGAGCAAATAAAGCTTTATTAGGGCCAAGACACAAATCCGGTCTTGATAATTCAACATTGCCTTTGTTAGGCAGGCAACATGACAATTCAATGAGTGTCTCGGCTATGGCTGTTACGGCTATGGCTGTTAAGCCCCTGCTATTAAGGTTGCAACAAATTCAATAGCTTTAGAATTAAATGATTGGACCTTCTGGTGCTGCAGTTACATTTTACTATTCTGCCCAAACATATTTTTTATAATATATACCATAGTACTCAAAAAGAACAATAACTATGAGAAAAATAAACATAATCTGCAGAGTTCTTTTTTCTTGTTTAAACAAATTTTTTTAACTGTCCAATTACATTGAGTAAGCTTAGAGCACCTGATGGTTATGCTGTCTGGGCCCTGAGAGCCCCTGAATGCTTTCTTCTTGTAAGAAGGACCTGCTTTAATAGCCCAGGACTGAGCAGCAAACATTTTGGACCTTTTGGTGTCAAATGACCTATCACCATTGAGGAACAATGGTGAGGGATGTCTTGAATTGTGGATTAACCAAATTTTTTTGTACTAAGAGGGATGGATTGTCAAGAGAAGGAACTAAGAAAAAAAAATCTCCTCACAATGATAATTTATGATTTTTAACTTGAGCAGTGTTCCATTAGCTGTTAAATGCTAATTTACCCTATGTTGTCTCATTTCAAGTAACTGGAATGCATGGTATTTTGTTCTTCCTCCAGGAGTTCATTAGACTTGCATTGGCAAAAGCTAGTAGCTTTTGATCCCAAAAACACCAGTAAACAGGTGCTTTGATCCTTGGGCTGCTTGCGAATGCGAACTCCTCTGCCTAAGTGTATCTTCTATTATGCACCAAATACCAGCTCTATTCATCTATTGTGGTTGTAAATTCAGTAGCTCCCAATTATACATCGAACTAGGCTGCAGTCAACTTCACTGCCCTCTTCTTGTTTTGTGGGTTATGCTTGGACAGCATGATATTCCAAAATATAGGCGTTGGATGAGCACCATCTCGACGATGGACTGCTAAACCAGTACTATACACTAATAATTTTCGATGACCGCCAATGGAAACGATTTGACGAAGAATGTCTTAGATAAAGTGTTAAAATGTAGTTGAACACGTTCCCATGGATTTAGCTTCCAGAATTACTTGTGGAGGTCGATCTCCTCCACCTTATTTGATCATTCATTATCTAGACTTGCACAGGGATGATCAGATCAAACAAGACCTACATGGCTAGGTTTCTTGCAAAGGGATCCCCTTTTTGTTTTGTTTGAAAACTTTAGGAATGTTGTATCAGGGTACCACCATGAAACTTTAGTTATAACCAGTGTTTTTGAATTGTTGTTCATCCAGAAACCATCCATACAATCCATTCAATTTTACCCTAAACCCAGTCTTTGACAAAAAAACCGTTCATTTGGTCAACGACCTGCTGACCTAAGCAATCGAATTGTCGCTCATTCAACGTTTTTTGGCCTTTATTTTAATTATTTTTAATTTTTTGTTGAAACGGGCTGTCCAAAACGAATGGCTGAACCATCAACCCAGAAATCAGTGGCCATAATGGTTCCAATTTAGGATCGATTTTTAAAACCTTGGTTCTAACTTCTTTCATATAACTAGTTTTTTTATGTTACCTTTGTTGCTGTTTTGTTGTGTTTTCTTTTCTTTTTAGGTAGTAGCAAGTGTATACATGGTAATTCTAGATGATGATAATGATAGTAATAATGTATCCAATTTTTCTATAAAATTTATCTATTTTTTATTTTTTTTTTATATATATATATATATATATATATATATATATATATATATTCATTTTTATTATTAATCAGATGCAGATTGGAAATCCAAATCTGAATATATAAATACCCCATTCAAATGTGTGATAATCGGATCAAGTTGTGAAGTTTCAAGTATCATTGATAGGCCTACTTGCTTGGCTAGATTCTTATTTTTTGTAATATTTAATCTTTTGGTGTATCTTTTTTGTTCATTTATAAAAAATATAAGATTTAAATAGAAGGAATTGAATGGGGTGAAAAGTAATAGTTCAATTTACAATTTAAACCTCATAATTAAATAGGGATTAAATTCAAAAATGAGTATTTTAGACAAAAGAAAGTTTCACAATCTTATTCATATTTTTAAGAGTAGTGTAAATATAGAATTATAGATGTGTTCAATTTTTTCTATAACTTTTTTTTTTGTATTTTTGTGTATAAAAATAATTATAATATGTCACACTTACCTTTTGTTTAATATGAAAAATATATGATATTATACATGTGACTAAATGTTATTTTTTTGCAAAATTTATGTATTTTTTTTAATTTTGCATTTTTATATTTTACTAACTTTTATTATTTATTTATGACATTAAAGGTTAACATGTTTGACCCAAAATTTGAACTATTGATCTTTACCAAACAATAAAATAATTTCATTTTTGTTAGTTATAAATTATGTATTTCATTTTCATTACCAATAAAAAAAGTTGTCTACTACACATTTTTTAATTTGATTAATAAAAATATCATAAATGTGTCTAATTTTCCTACATCTTTTGTAAGTTTCAAAATGTGTAATTTTTTCTATATTTTTTGTAAATTTTTATATTTATTTCTATTTAAAAAATTATATTACCTAACTATGACTTCGTAGGTTGATCAATTTGATTCGGATGGTTGAATTGCTTAGCTACCACTTGGATTAAAAATGGTTTTGTTTTTTAGTCAATTTTAAAATATATGGGTTTATATTATTAAAAATATTGACAAAAATCTAATTTAATAAGAGAAAATGGGAGTTAATAATTTAAGTATAAGACTTAATGAGAGGGGAGTAAATGAGGTGGGAAGTAATAATTGAAGTTACATTTTCAATCTTACCATTAGAAATAGACTAAATACACAATTATGGGCATTTTAATAACCATAAAAGCTATAATAAAATGACTTTTATACCCTTTCTCAAACAAAGAAGTAGAGGCTGATTTTAGTCCAAAAAAGTTTCACATTGCATTTACACTTTTATATATAATAATATAGATTATATAATGCACATTACAAGGGAATTAAGGGGATAAAGACAAAGCAGGGCTTATGTAAGGTCCATTGCACTTTACATAGAGAGTCTGAAGTTACATGGGTTTAACCCCACACCTACCTCCATTTTTTGAGGGATGATAAGTGATCATTTTAGCTACTTGATCATTGGCAATGTAAAAAGAATTTTCTCTACCAATGACTAGTAGTTGAAGAGCTTGGATCTTCTGTCCACAAAGGCGCTACCCACACACATCTTCAAGACACTACAACCACACACTCTGATGATTGAGATGTTCCTGATATGCAACTATGGTTGTAGTGTTGTGGGTAGGTTTATGTGTAGCATTGTGGGTAGTAGACCCAATCTCCTAACTGAGATGGTCACTCAACATCCCTCCAACAAAATAAGTGTGGGATCAAACCAGTGGAACTGCAAGCTTTCTATGACATAGTTTGCTTTCGTCCCCACTCCTAAGTCCCTTGGGTACCTTGTAAGATGACAAATGATTTTTTCCAATGTTCTAAAAACCGACCCAAAAACGGAACATTTAACCACCGGTTTTCAAGTTAACAGTTTAACCGACTATTAGGGTAAGATGGGATATAAATGTTATGAGAAAGGGGCAAGAGAACGAGAGTGAAAGGAGGGTTTGTAACGTATGTTGGCTCAAAGAAGGGAAAAGAAAGAAGGTTGAAAAGAAGAAGAAAAAGAAGAAGAAGAAGGAAGAGGGAGGAAGCAGAGGTGTGGGTGACCTAAAGTGGGAACGGTGACGACAACCAACAACAACGACCTACAGTGGCAACGACAACACGATGTATCTCTCATATCTTTCTCTTGCAAATCTGTAATTCGAGATCTCTCTTATAGATCTCATCTTTGAACATAAGATCTCTTTAGATCGCTCTCTACCTCTTGAGATCTCAAATCTGAGATCGATCTTGCTTCTCTATGTTTTTCTCTATTTTTTAAATAAAACATATTGGACCGCAAATCGTTGCCCGGGTTGAACGGTTCAACAATCAAACCATTTGGGTCAACAATTTGTTGACCAATTCAATAGTTATTAATAAGATAACGGTTCAACACTAAAATGGAACCAATACCTTGACTGGTTTCTGGGCCGAATGATCCGACCATCTGGATCAACAACAATTCGAAAACATTGTTTTTTTTTTTTTTTTGGAAAATTCCACTTTAGTACCTTAAAGTTTGGGGGTAGTGTCAAGGTGGTACCCGAACTTTGAAATGTGTCACTGCAATAGCTAAACTTTGAAAAAGTGTCAAGTTGGTCCCTGTCGTTAACCCAAGGTTCAAAAAATCAAAACGGTCCAACCATCCGGGTCAACAACAGTTCGAAAACATTGTTTTTTTTTTGGAAAAATTCCACTTCAGTACCCTAAAGTTTGGGGGTAGTGTCAAGTTAGTACCCGAACTTTGAAAAAGTGTCAAGTTGGTCCCTGTCATTAACCTAAGGTTCAAAAAATTGACACGTATCGACCTGTATTGACCGATACGTATCGTATCAGGAGCACCCTGATACACCCCCATAAAGGGCATATCGGGGTTTTGACCGGTTTAGGGGTGGACGAACCTTAAACCGACCCCCTGAACTGGAGTTAAAAAAAAAAGTACCAATATTGCCCGATGCGCCTCTACCGACGTATCGGGCGTATCAATATTTAGAACCTTGCATTAACTAACCGTCAATTATCTGTTGAAAATGTCAAAACTACCCTTCAAAAGAAGACACTATTGTCTTGTACCTTGAGACTAAACCGATTATCTTCAAAGAAAAAGAGAAAAAAAACATGAAATATGATAGAGAGAAACAATAACTAAAAGCAAAAAAATAACTAGAAAAGAATGTGTTTTGGATCTAAAGGTAGAAGACAATGACTTCATTAGTCTAGAATCTCAAACACCTCAACCGGTTCAGTCTCAAGATAGAAGACAATGAACAATGTCTTCTTTTGAAGGGTAGTTTTGACATTTTCAACAGATAACTAACGGACAATGAGCGACAGGGACCAACTTGACACTTTTTGAAAATTTAGGTACTGCAGTGACACGTTTGAAAGTTCGGACACTAACGTAACAATACCCCCAAAGTTCAGTGTACTAAAGTGGAATTTTCCCTTTCTTTTCCTTCGGCTATAAATCCACCACCAATTTGTTCACTTAACAAATCAAAATGCATCGCATAAGCAGATTGGCTTTAACAGTTTGAAGGACCTAATGGATTGTACATTCCCCATTCCGTGTCCAGTAATATTACATGCACTACTTAGTTATAAAATAGCCTAAAAAGATTTACAACTTCACTGGAATCACAATCTAACAAAAAAAAACATAAAACAGGAAGAAGATAAATTGCTCAGTGAACTGGGTTCCAAAGCAAATAAAGTTATTCACAAATAAAAAATGACGGGTTGCTTGGGGGAATACATTTTTACTTAAATAAAACCATCTGGAAAGGCATCAGGTAAAGAGAGAAGGATTGGCCGATGCTGTACTAACTTGAACTTCTAGCAATTCCAGACGACGCTCTAACATATCAAGTTTCTCGTTCAAGGATGCCAACTTGCTCTTTGTTGTAGCCTCTAAAGGCAGGAAAAAAAAAAGATCAAGACAGAAATAAATGCAAGGCACAGAAATAAATCAAATAACACATGACACTAACACATGTTGATAAATGGTTGGAAGTAATTTGATGACCTTCACCAAAGGCATCAACATCAAAACAAAAATTGGAATCTAAAATCCCTGCAGAAGTTTAGAACACATGCTACTTAATCAGAACTGATGATCACAGAGACCATCCCCTGAATACAAAACTTCATGCATGCAGAAAAGAGTAGTACACACTAGAAAACCCAACAAAAGAACAGTCAATCAGATAAATGGATGATATAAGGCAAATTTCTAAGCTTCTAAATAAGGGAAATGCATGAACAGAAAGGTCTCATCCCAAGAATCATATTGATGCAGACAAACACATAACAATGAATTCAATTTTTCAAATGATACTGTCAGAAGAAAATCTGGGGATACCCTGTGCACTAGATATGAGAAAATTGGGTAAATGAACGAACAAAAGACCCAACAAAGGGCAACATCTGTGACAGGCAGCTAATTCTAATGCTCTAAGGGAGGAAAGCCCACCCCCAAATGCACAAGGAAAACTTTCGGATATTTATCAGCACATGACTCTAACTCTTGAACTATAGTATCATATATCTTCAAAATCAATTGAAGCAAGAACAACAAAATTTATTTAACAATTCTGATTTCTCCCTTCCTATAGAACGAAAATAAAATCCAATCATTGGAAATATCTTCCATAGTAATCTAACCTGAAGCGAAGAGAATTTTCTATAATCTTAGAAGGCAACTGCCTTGCAAGGTAAGTGCCCAAACCCGAAGAACTCTCTTTCAGGATACCTCCGAAGACAATTAATAAATTGTTTGGAAGTTGAAGAACAATTCAAACCCTACAATTTATATGTGTTTTCTCTAATTTCGTGCAGATTCATTATTTGATATATAATCACAATTAAGAAAACGGAAGAAGAGAAGACATGCAATTTCAAGGGAAAAAGAAAACAAAATGACACGGAGGAAATCAGAAAATTGGAGATAAAACAGCAAACAGAAAGAGAGAGAAATGAGGGGGTTGACATTTTACCGAATTGGACGAGGAACTCAAAGAGACGACGGACATTAAGAGAGATGTGAGAGATGAACTCTCGATTTTCCCAATCAGCTTGTACTGCTATACCGACGTTGACTGCGTTCGTGATTCCTCCAGCTCTCGCCATTTCTTCCTCTCAGCTTGGACTGGAAACGGAAAGAGAAAATAGCAATATAAAGATAAAAAGGACAAACGACGAAGCACGGGTTAAATCAAGGAGAACGTCGCGAATTAAACAAACCCCAGATCACAGGACAAGAAGAAGAAGAGAGGGAACCCTAAAAAAAAGCAAACAAACCTTTGTTTACTAAATGAAAACGAGGAAAAGAACAAATGAGATAAACCTTTATCTACAGTCTCGGATCTGTCTGTAGCTTTCATTCGCTGCAACAAAGCACGAGCGAGAGTTGAGACTTTGGGGACTTGTTCTTACTTTATTTCAGGAACTCTATGATTAAGAGTTGACTAAACACAGGAGGAAGCAAAACTCAAGCAAATGAGACAGGGGGAGTGGGGAGTCATTTCCCGCCGGGAACTAAGGGCCGAAAAACTAAAAAGGAAGGGCAGTAATGGTTTTGTTTTGTTTTGTAGTTTGATGAGAAAGAGGATTGATGACTAAATCCAAATGAATGGGTTAGTGGTATCTCTTGTCTCTTTGCCTTTCTTTTCTTCATAAAACGTATATTTAGAGATTTGTTTTAATGTAAGCTTTTAAGGCAAGGCAAGGGTTCTTTGGTATGGTTTTTTAATATTTCGGTTAGGACTAGGGAGTGGCGTCTTTAAATTAAAGTAATAAATGAAATGATGATATTGCTACCTTCCAGCACCAAAGAGACCCTCCTCTTTCTTCGACATTAACCAGCAGAATTCCAGACCAGACCCAACAAATTTTGCCCCCTTTTGGAGAAGGTACAGCGTGTGCCAACTGCCAATTCATACACACCGAGTCAGAGGGAAAAGAATGCATTCACTAATCAAGATTTGTGATTCGTCAGCTTGACTGGCTGAAACTTACAAGTTTGGATCTGTTTCTCATAAAGCGCACCTCATACCGATTTTACAGCACGTTTTGGCCATGCATCTGAAATATCTTCGTACTTGAACATTTTTATTCATGAAAAATTTTTCAGATGCACAGCTGAAAAGTGCTGAGGCACAGATCCAAATTCGAAACTTACATTATTGATGGCTATGCAATCAAGTGATCCATTGGGCTCTAAGCTTACTAACAAGAGAGACAACCTCCATGCCCAACAGAAAGGAAAGAAAGAAATAGATCCCGGGTTCAAGATTAAGAAAAAGCAATAATAAGGCTGTATTTGGTTTCAAGGAAAAAGTAGAGAAAGGGGAAAAAAGAGTCAATGCAAATGAAACTTCTTTGCCTCATTTGAAGTGAATGAATGAAGTGAAAGAGTCAATGCACGCTTATGTTGATGGCAACTCAATACAGGGATGACAATATACAAACTCAATCCATTGACGTTTGGATCCAAATTAAATCTTATCTGTTGATTTTGGTTCTGATTTCTGAGTTCTGACTCGAATCGGATTTTGGATATTGAATGTATAACATGAATAAATTAAATTAAAAAGATCAGAAATGGAAGAGCTTAAATACCACCTAAATGGTTACGGTTGGTCACAAATTTTTCACATATCATGTCTTTTTGGTATCATAATCAAACCCACCCTATCATATATTATTTTTAAAAATGAATTTGATGCCATATATAATGAATAAAATGACTTCAAAAGAATTTCTACAAGAGGATCCAAGGGAACCTGTACTTTATAGTTTATACCTAGCCCTCCATATAGACCAAATGATGAGAGAGAACTTTGGCTCCTGTACAATCATACAGCGTACAATCACTTATATATGCTCAACATTGAAAAATTCAGTATTTCTTTTTACCATTGATACTCTTGAAAGACGTTTGATTTTAGTCAATACTCATTAGAAACTTAAAAATCGATACACATTGTATGATATCTTGAATTTTGGGTGGATATTAAAGCCACCTCATCCAAAATTCAAAAACTTTTGTCTTGTGCACTGTAAAAAGCGATTGTACATGCAATTTAAAAAAGGACCGAAAGTTGTTTCATTAGATTATGCCACATCATAAAAAAAAGGTGAACCCGTGGTTGAAGAAACATCATTATCCTGAAGTGGCCAACTTGGTTGCAAGTAAATGCATCTTTTTTATCAAACCCAACAATAGTCCAAAACAACATGAAGTTGGACATGTTGGTTCGCACCGATGTTGTCAGACTCAGACCTGAATGTTCGGTCAAACCTGTGATATGGTGGGCTTTCTGGGTCCCAGTCATTTAAATGGTTTTTCACAATCTAACCAGCTTGTTAATCGGTAAAACTGTGACCTAATCAACTTTCTAGTCTTGTCTGGTCCAAGTCTGACTGACAACATTGGTTTCACTCTGCAATCCGAACACCCAGCTCAATATAGCCTGATTATACATACAAAAAGCCCTCTTAAAAGTGACATTAAACTGTGGATCTTTGCCCATAAAGAACCTATAATCCTCACCTGCCATCAGGCATCAGGCCACCGATCTAAGCCCAGCATTGGATTTTTCTTATTTTCTTCTTCTTTATGGTTATCATTACGAGGATCTTCTATCTCAAGAACAGACTTAAGAGGATATTACATTTATGCAGGCCTTTCTCATTGATATCTCAATAACAGACTTCTGATGAACAAATCCAATAGCTAGTTACAACTTGCATCATAAACCACGGTGAATAACTCGCAGAAATTGGATGGTATAAAAAGATAAAACTTAGTTGGGCCAAGTTGTGACAGCTGTAGCTTACATCATATACCAAAATGAAACTTAGTTGGGCCATGTTGTGCTATGGCATGTGACCTATGCAACTAATAATGCAGCAGGTCCTACAATTGTTTTTATTAAAGAGAAAAAAATATATACACATTTAAAGCAACAATGAAAAAGAACCATAACCTTGTTTTCTAAACCCTTCTTGGCTTGATTTTGAATTCTTGTGCAAAACATCACCAGATGAGACCTAGAATGTCAGCCTTCCTTTTCACTGCTAAAACCGCAAAGCTTCCTTGCAATATAACTTTGTCATCTTAATCCACATGTGGTGCACATTAAAGAATTATGTTGAATTGACATACCTTTGCATCATTCTCTACCACATTTTTGCAGAAAAAATGATGGCTAGTCTTACGCTGAGGCTGCAACTGGCAAGAGGCCATTATGCCTCAATAATGCCTCCGGGGAAGGTTCACGCCCTCGGAATTCAACAAAAACCTGGCAATGGAAAACCAAATGCAAGAATGTTAGTTAAAAACAAAAGCTTTCACCAATTTTGCATTAGACAGAAAATTTCCAGGAAGTATACAACATTTTATTTGGTCTAACCTCAAGTGGAGACTTTCCACCTCCAAGAGCAAGGATGGTCTCTCGGAACTTAAGACCAGTTTCTTTAATAGCCTGTTGCAAGAATTTATTTTCAGTAACAATTGTAATGGAACCACAAAAGAACCAGTTGTCTGAGATTATCTGCTTCTCCACAAGAACATATATTGTACTTAAGGCTTTAATCATTGATAACAATAGTAAGAATATAAAAACATAGTTTCCCGTGTACATGGGCACAACACAACATGAGCATATGAAATAATGCTGTAAACAAGAATGTCATGTTCATTTGAATTTTCTAGGTTTCTATAAATTGGACCACAAATTCAAGCTTTTGTTTTTTAATCAAAATTACAATGTTCTGTTATGGGCCTGGGACAATAATCTCATAGCTTTATTTTCTTTTCTCCTACTAATTTCCCCCCAAAAGCCTACCCCTTCAAAAATCTTAGTTCAATTCATGCTCTGTTATGGGCCTGGGCGTAGGATCTCGTCACGGGTCGGTCCACGGGGAGAACCTCTACCTTCCCCTTGCCCCTCCCTTTGCGTGCAAACCCTATTGTGGCAACCTGATGGGTGATTTGTCCAAGAGATCACCCGAACTCTCCTCACTCTTCCCTTGACTGAAAAACTGAATGCCTTTATTCCCAATTCACAACTCCTTAAATAGGAGATTACAAGAGGTGACTCCTTATTGAATTCGACTAGGCTAGGATAATCCAACCTTAAATCAAACTCCTACTTCTAATAGGTAAACAAACTCCTACTAAGAACAGAACTTAACTCCTATTTCTAATAGATAAAGTAAGAATAGATGGGATGAGGTAAGCTGGTGGAGAGCTGGCAGGATAAGCTGTCGTGTGGGCCCCTCCTCATTGCTGCTGCCGGCAGCGGTATGTCTTCCCCACGAATGCATCCATAACATGCTCGACTTGCCTGGACTTGTATACAGACTGAAAAACTCTATTTTCATTTTTACCTTTGCTTGATAACCATGATTATTAATAATGATTGAAAGAATGCAGACTAGCGGGCAGCCCCCTTCCCTTGAACATATAGTTTTTTTTTTTTTTTAAATGAATGAAGATAATTTTATTAAACCAAAAAATTAAAGCATTACAGCTGGTCCACAGAATTTTTCCCCTCTATTAACCCCTTGCTTGGCCATAACATCAGCCAAGGCATTAGCTGACCTGTGCACCCAATTGGCTCTGCTAGTTGTCCCTGCATGGTGCTTTGATCTCCCTCATGATATTTTCATAATGCCATGGAGTTGTTTCCATATTTTTGAACCATCCAATCAACACCTTAGAGTCACCTTTCACTTCTACGATTCTGTAATTAAGTATTCTTGCTGAACTTAGATTTTGCAATGCAGCTGTAGTTCCCAAGACCAGTCAGGCCGGAGAATAAAGCTGTTAATACTCCATTCCAATCGCTGAATAATAACCCCCCCCCCGCCCCCACACCAATACCTGGAGGCCTGGGGTTACTTCTACTACACCCGTCGAGTTCAACTTGAATACACTCACCTGAGGTGGATTTCATCTTGCTGCCTGGTAGGGCCTAGAAGTAATTATCATCTATAGAGAAAGGATAAAACTAAAAGTTTTGATGCAATGAGCAATTCTAATGATGGTGCTTTTAATCCAACTTTTCCACTGAAGATTCTATCACTTCTTTCCTCCCAAATAACCATAAAACTAAAACTCCATAAAATCTTCCCTCTTCTGGAGAATCTAAAGTAAGAGGGGCTAAATAAGCTCTCCACATCTGATGGTGGTGTCCGCATGCATCCAAAGAGGCCTAAACACCACCCCCAAATTCCAGAGACAAAAGGACAGGAGATTAGCAAATAGTAAAGTAGCTTCCCTGCTAGCAATACAGAGGGTGCAAATGTGGGGAGATAATACACCAGTTCAGCCTCCTCCTCTGTTGGTTCTCACTAGTGTTGTTTTTTTTTTGAGTAATCACATTTTAGGAATGGATAAAAACCCTATTTTCATTTTTTTTAAATGAAATTGCAAATATAAGCAGTATTCACACATTTGCTGTCTCAGATAGCATTTCTAACTGGCTGCCTTGTGTGTATAATCTCCATCTCCATTGAAAGAATGTCCATCGCAGACACTAAAATTCATTTAATTATTTATGACAGGTATTACAAACACTAAAACATTAAGCTGTCAAAAGTAATAAGCAGAAGAAAATAAATTTGCATCTTGAGTTGACAAGATCCTTTGAGTAAACTTATAAAAAAGCACAGCAAAACAATTAATAAACTATGGTCACCTAATGCTCCTATAACCTATCTACGTCAACATGGATCCCATGTCACATTGGACATTTCCAACTTTTACTGTAAATTCTGTGTCTGACACCTTGTCAAGCTGTGTCCCTTCCATATCTGGGTATCATACCCTATATCTATTACAATCACAGAAATGTAGATACAAGAATTAAATAGAAGAATGTCAAAAGATGTCATAAGATTTTACGCAAACCTTGTCATTGTCCAATCCAGCATCCTCAAATGCTGAGAAAGCATCAGCTGATAACACCTCTGCCCACTGTAAAATTAAGATATATGAATTCAATAGTAAATCTGCGGCATGAAACAATATTCTTATGGTAGGAAAACTGAAATTATCCCATAAAATGCAGATAGAAAACAAAATAGAAAAGCATGCCTGTCAGTTTCCCTACATAAATCCAGCTGTCCAAATAATATTGATCACCAAATAAAAACTCATAAATTCTGAAAATAGAACAGTACAAATAGACAGGAAATTTCAACTTCTAAAGAAGCGCCATTTCTAGAAGACACGCAAAAGAAAAGACAAGAGTGAACCATTTTATAGAAAAGAAATGATGCAAAAGACAAGCGAACTAAGGAGAAAGGATGTCTTTAGAAGCTACATTATTTAAATTTTCTAGTCAATTGTGAAACACAATTAACCAAATGATCAAAACATATTGAGAATTTTACATTAATTCAGGTGAATAAACTTGGTCAAAAATTTTATTATATACACAAAGTGAACAAGGTTTGACCAGCCAATAGAACCAGATCATCCAGTTCTGCTCAGTCAATGTCTAGTTAGTTTAATGACGCAGAAAATACAAGATACATGGACTTTCTCATCTTCCATAATGCCACCTCTTACATAGATTAGCTAATAGTGATTTGACCTATATGAATCCCAAATGCACTCGAAGGCATCCAGAATTTCTGGAAAGATTTTTGACCTCATGCAGAAACTAAAAAACTCATCAGCAAGACAAGGGAAGGCGCCACAGATGTTGATGACTTTTTGGTAAGAGTACAAGGTAAAAATACCAAGACAAAACAGTTAAAATTTAATATTATGGCACTAAACAGAACAGAATGGCAAAACAGGATGCAAGTAGCTGAGCCCATATAGTTGGGATAAGGCTTAGATGATGATGATGATGTCTTTCATGGTGAGTTGGTGACAACGGCACCTAAGTCAGTGACACTAATCTTTGATGGTGATTTGGGCATGTCATGTTCTGTTATGAGGAGGGTATACCTGTAACTGTTACTTAAAAAGAAACTGCTTAAAAAGACAAAGCTAACTGTATGTATTAGTCCAATTGTAATTTGTAACCATGGAGACATTTCTTGTCTTTTTGTTGGGAATCTACCCAGTTTATCAAAAGTAAGATGTGCCCAAGTCAGTCCCCTTTATTTTTTTACTGCCTAAATACAATTAACAACAATGACATGTGTAATGGGGACAACTATCTTGAAACCTGTTATGTCGACAAAAACAACTTGCATTTACAGCATTAAATTTATTCCACTTCAAAATTATCTTACCATTCAATGCCTATACTGCCTTGGCCTATACTTGCATGTGCATTTGCACATGCCAAATGCACATGCCACTCAACTAATAATCGTAATGGTAATAAACAATTTGTCTAGATAAGTAGCTGAAAGAAAGCATGAATATCAAATAACGCCATACAACCATATGAAGATAATATGTGTCTCACCTTGTAGCTATAGTATCCACCAGCATATCCACCTAATATGTATATAAGCAAAGAAATGAATAATATAGCCACAAGGAAGAAGCAGCATTTAAAGTCAAAAAAGCAATAATAAGAAAAAATTCCACAAGCAAAACCTGCAAATATATGGCTAAAACTACAAAGGAACCTATCTTCTGGCAACACTGGAATCACTTGCGTTCTCTTCCCAACACGTTGGTCAACATCGTAGATTGATTCTGACCCATTTGGAATGTATGTAGTATGCAGCTCCAGATCTAAACTTGCAAAACGTATCTATAAAAATAATAATAAGGCAACAATTATTTACCTTTACAGTTGTTGCATACTTCCTTTTTTATCAGTAAAACAATTTCATCAAGAATCAAATAAGAAAAGGGAAGCATAAATTCTCACTCTAGAGAAATAGGAAAGAGGATATCAAGCCTTGAAATAAGTGACTAGGGAACCAACAAGAAGATACAGGACAGAAATACCAGCAACTCAACCATGAGAGATGAGTGAATAAATGTATATAAAATACCAAAAAGCAATACAGTGTCTGTTAAACCCCAGCCTCCAATCATTCATACACTACAATTTCTAGGATAGCCAAGTACACACAAGTAGAACTATCTTTCTTCATGATCAGCTAACATATCAGGAGAGTTGTTTAGAACTCCTTGGCAATTCTGACTTCATTGAACTGCATTTACTGCTCTTAACTCTTAGTTGGTAAGGCATCACTTGTACTCCTAGGTTAAGATATAAATTAGCATTCAATATGCAGGTCATAAATTAAAAGGGAATTGCACCAACTCACAATGGTTCCAATACAGCTTTGTCACATACAAGGAAAACTTCTCAATTAAAAAAATAGAGGGCTATTGTATTGATAAAATAATTTCGATCCAATGTCAGAATAAGGTTGGCATGGACTCCAGGTTTCAAGACATGGCTAATCCAAAGTGTCTCCTATCTGATGAACGTTCTAGATTAGCACATGATTCTTCAATGTGGTTACAATAGTGGGTTGTGTAGGGAAGCTCCCTATTTGATCCAATTAGGAAATCATAAATATACAGAATGTGTATGTACAATTAAATAGAGGATGCTTACAGTCATGAGAAAATAATTCTTTCTATCTCTCACGTTTTGAAACTAAAACAAAAACCCAGCTACAACAATTTCTATCTCTCAACTTTAGGACAACAAAACTCAATAAGAGAAGCAGCATTGAAAGATCTGAGACTAGCCAAAGCAAATAATTACAGAAACAAAAATGGAAGAGGACTCAAAAGTGCTGATAAGATGGCTCAAGAATGAGGAGTTGATCCCTTTCAATACAAGAACATTATGAAGGAAATCAAGGCCCTGTTTGGCAACGTTCCGCGAGAACGTTTCGCGTGTTCCCAGTGTTCTCTCGGAGCAGAAACACGTTTGGTACAAGAAAAACAAAAACCGGCAACATTTCCGGCCAGGAACGCGTCAACAGGTATGTTGTCTCGTCACTGCACCTGGTTTTGTATCGTGTGCTCTGTTTTAAACTCACCTTTTCTCCGGCAAAATTCACCTGAAATCATTTTAGCTCCCACCGCAAAGATGAGTTTTAAACAATCTATAACTGATGCGATCTGAAATCGTTTTTCTTATATTATTTTGCTTGAATTTGTTATATGTTATGCCAAATGGGTGTAGTTTCTTCTCTCATCCCATCAATGGTTATATGTTATGCCGAATGGGTGGGGTTTCTTCTCTAATCCCATCGTTATGTTCTGTTATGTCTTTTGTTATATGTTGAATATCATGAAGATTGTCCTTTGTTATGTGTTATGAACCTTTGTCCATGTGTTGGATTGTTATGTCTTTTGTTATGTATTCTGTTACAAACCTGATGCAGGATGAACATTTTAAATTTGAAAAAAATAAAAATAGATAAAATAATAAAGAAATTAGCAGATCTATATGAATGAAAACATAGGGAAACTACTGGGAATCGGCAGCTCATATTAAAGAAGCAAGTCTGGTGTTGGTACCAAATAAATAAGCCAAAGGTTAAAATTTTTAGTTTGATGGATTAAGTTCCATACAAAAACAAGTCTGGTATTTGTTGATGTATTTTTTTTTTTTGTTCAATGGATCAAGTTCCATACAAAAAACAAGTTTGGTATTTGTTGATGTTTTTTTTTTTTGTTCAATGGATTAAGTTCCATACAAAAAACAAACTCCACTATATAATGAAATGGAATGTTTGTTGATTTTAGAGCTCCCACACCCATCATGACTGAAAGTTGATTTCAGCTGATGGGGATTTCAGATCTCAATTTTTTTTCTTATCAAATGAAAGTTGATTATAATGACTGAAACAAGATGATGTAAATCAGATGGAACAAGCTCCCACACCCATCATGACCAAAAGTTGATTTCATCTGATGGGGATTTCAGTTCTTATTTTTTTTGTTGATTATCAACTGAAAGTTTATTATAATGACTGAAACAAGACGATGCAAATCAGATGGAACAAGCTCCCACATCCATCATGACCGAAAGTTGACTTTAGCTGATGGGGATTTCAGTTCTCATTTTTTTTTATTTGTTGATTATTGTAGTCCTTATTGTATTGTTTCTCTTATTTATTAAGATTTTCACTTCAGCCATGCAAGGGCCTCTCTGTAAATTCTCTAAATTCTGTTGCCCTACAAAGGCCTCTCTGTATTAATCTCATTTTCTATATAAAGGACCCTTGGGATAGGGTCAAACCATCCATTCTTCATCCCCAGAATTCTGTATTCTGCTCTGGGTCTGTTGACATGACACAACAGTTATTCTAGGCTCTATTGTAAACTAGTTATATGGGCATTGTTGTTTTCTGTATTTTTGGGTAAATGGTTACCCAATCTGCTGTAACTTTTACCTCCCATTAATAAAATTAATTTTCTGATAAAAAAATAATGTAAATTTAAGTGAAAAAACCAAAGAGGGAAGAAAACCAACCTACCTATGTAGATAACAGCAAAACAGTAAACATAATAATTGTGGGTGATTCATGAATATTGTAACCTAACCTGACGAAGGCTTAGTGAACCTGCACGGAAAGTCCTTGCAGCAAGGAGCTTCTTAAATACTTCTTCAGGGAGACTCTCTCCAGTTTCATAGTGTTTTGCGATGCTCAATAGGGTATCCCTATAAAATTCATCAAGAGAGTGAAATGACTAGGGTGGATGCTTACAACAAGACATTGTATAAAGTACCAAAACGCATCAATTGATTGAGATAACTTCATAAACTAGTGGCCAATATATATGATTTTATATTTTTTGAAGAAAGGTAAAGTAAATATTTCATTAGGATAAAATGATTAGCCCCTATACAACAAGAGGCTACATCAGAATGTACAGAAATAATATCTCTGAGACCTACACAACCACCCCTTTACTATTGACAAAAAGATTTTCAAAAACAAAAAAAAAAAAAGGAATATGGTCTTTTCCTGTAAAATCTTTGTGAACTGCCAGCCAAGAGTGTGATTTTCCTAAAATCTGTAAATAGACTGACTCCGCCAAAACCCTCTTCCCTTTGAAAACTGGGGTGTTCCTTTCTTGCCAAATCATCCATAAGACTGCTGCTGGGATACTGTTCCATAAGATTCCTCCTCTTTTGCTCAGGCCTTCCATTCTCCATCTCTTAAGAAGATCCTCAACTGAAGAAGGATAACATCCCTTGATGGCAAATAATTTCATCACTTTGGACCAAGCATTGTTGGCAAACTTCAGTGAATGAATGTGGTCAACCGACTCGTCAAGTGCTTCACAGAACTCACAGGTTGCTCTATCCACCACCATTCCTCTCTTCAACAGATTGTCCTTTGTCAAAATCTTATTCATATAAGCTGTCCAAACAAAGAAAGACTTCTGAGGACACACAATTGTTCCGCACAGCATTAGATGGGAAGCCACTGTCCTCTTGTGTTATTAAAAGGTTAAAAAAGGACTTCACTAAAAACCAACCAGAATTATCCCAGGTCCACACTCTCCTATCTTCTCTGCCAGAGTCTATCTGGGCATTGTACAGCAACTGCAGTATGCCCATCAGAGGTTCAACTTCCCAGTCATTCAATTGCCTCCTAAACTGTGTTGTCCACACCCTGAGTCCCTGACTCCATTGTTTCTGATAAATACTCTGCGACCCACACCTCTTTGTTTGTTGCTTGCTCATACAGGGTGGGAAGTCATCTTTCAAAGTTTGTTTCCACACCAAAATTCCTTCCAAAACCTTACTCTTTGTCCATTCCCTACTGCATACATTACCCCTCTACTGAACTCTCTGTGGCTTTTCTCAATCCCCCTTCCAAACAAATCACCCAAAAGACTGATTGGTTTCACCCGGCTCCCACCCTGAGCACACTGTATTTAGCTTCAATTACTTACTTCCATGGCTCCCCATTCTGCTCACTGAATCTCAGAACCACATTCCCAATAACGCTACATGCACCTCCTTCAACTTTCTCATTCCCGAACCTCCAGCCTTCTTCATCCTACAAACCCTTCCCCAATTAACAAGATGAATCTTTTTTTTCTTCTTTCCAATGCCTATAAAAAATCTCTCATCTTCCTTTCCAATATAGAAGATTTTATGTAAAATCAAAATTTTCAGACTTAAGACAGAAGATGCACATTATTGGATATGGTAGTTGCATATGCAACACTTGAGTAATATTTTGTATATAATATCAACTAGACCTTGATAAAAGGACCATTACCCAATATGTTGGTCACTTGGTCAGTTGGTCCTATCTATATAGGGTCTTGGGAGGGGGCTCAGGGGAGAACTGGATATGGACCAAGCAGTGGGCCTTATCACCTTGATGATGGCCATATATGAGACAATAGAAAATCTAATTGCGTTTAACACAATAATTCAAGTCATTAGCCTGTTAAATGCCAGAGCGATCCTAGGAGTGAGGACTGGCTGCTCATCTAGTGATTGCCCGGTGAGTGGTGACATGGATAACCCAAAATTTGAGAGTTTAAATATTAACTAAGAATAGACTACTAACTTGAATACTTTAATATAAAACTGTACATCATAAGTAATTATGTTAATCTGCCTGAGCACAGTATAAGAAGGGCCAACAAGTTCAACAGTGACACAATTTAGCTTCAAAACAACAAAATAGATAAAAAGAAGTAAACATTACTATGTAACCTCCAAACTTTTTTTTTTATGTAAAACATTTCCATGTAGCCTCCTACTTGACCACTAGATATGACCAAATTACTAGAATTTAAGATGCCCAGAAAAAGAAATGGGCACAAAAACAGATATTGGAAGTGGAGACATGATTTTCCATGTCCTGACTCCTGAGATCCAGGATAAAACTACTGGTAGAAGTATCATGTCTCATGTTGATACCACACTTACATTTCTGGTCCCTTTAAGATGGTATTGTTTCTCAGTCTTACATGTTACCTAGGGCATACAACATGAGAAAAACCTTTACCAGATCAAGATCTGGACCCAGGTAAAATCTAATAAAGTGTATTTGTATCCAGTCCATTTGCAAGCTTAGGTTGTACCCTGTGGAAAGCATACATTGGATGGGATCCAGATCAGATCCATTTTAATATACAAATATTATGCATACTAACCTGTTGGGAGAGACTGCAGCTTGTGCCTCTTCATGGGCTGTTTGGATCAGTTTCAAATTATGATTTAATATTTTTTTTAATGGCATGATTCTTTGAACAGTTCAACTATGATACCAGAAAGGCATGATAAAGTTGTAACCAATCAACCAGTATCATAATGGTGGTAACCAATCAGGTTGATATTTATCAAAATTCACAGGGGGGGTTGAACTTTTGATTGGTCAAAGCTCTTTGGTATCATGTCTTTTCAGCATCATAGATTTCCCCTTATTTAAAACATATCAATTACATGCTTTAGAAAGTGATCATCATATATACTCCAGAACTCTCTGTGCAGTATCTACTGTTCTATTGGGTACATGTGTTCAACACTAGTATGCTAAGGAAGTAAACAGAACCCAGTTATCGTGGAAATGAGGCCTGTGCCTTGTGTCTTAAACAGCTTCCCTGTAAGAAGAATTCCAAGGTTAAACTACAAAACATTTAACCTTTTAAATATGTTTTTAAATAAAATGCATTTCCACTTAAAAAAAAAAGAATCCCGGGCATGAAGCTCATTGGAAGCACACTATGTTCAAGCACCACCTTGGCGCTCTATTGCCTAGGAACAAGCATAAACAAGTATTCTTATTCAGAAACAAGTACATAAAGTGTCTATATCATGGATTGAAGAGGGAAAAGACGATGAGAATATTATGTATCACATATATAACGAAAGATTAGATTTTAGTTAAGAGAACTTTACTTGTGATAGCACCAATTTTCCATAAACTGAGAAGGCAATTCAACAGCATCCCATTCTATCCCCCGAATACCAGAACAAAGACTCTCGTCTTGCTTGGTGAGCATATGCTGAAGTGCATGTCCAAATTCATGAAAAATGGTCTCAACCTACAAATGATGCCACCTGTTTGTCAAAAGGATAGTGCTTTTGTAACATTTGAATTAAAATTCATCATGCAAGCCTTGTCCCAAACCATTTGAATTAAGATTCATAACAAAAGGAATTGATCTTCCCAATAAATTGGAAAATGAAAACATGAAAAATATGAACAGAAATGATTAAAACATGAGATTTGATCACAAGAAAATCTTCAATTAGAAACTATAGGTTTTGGACATATATTTTGCTTGTCCAAATTAAAGGAAAATTTGGCTTTTGGCCTCACTTCTTTCACAGTAGCTTCACTACATGATTATGAGAACAAAACTAGTTCCACTATGTCTATAACCCATGATTCATTTGGGCTTTATACATGCCACTTAAACTTTTGAAGAACCACTAGGAAGTTAAATAAAGATGTTTACAGTGCAAAATTTTACCTCACGAAAAGTCATAAGGCTTGGCTTGTCTCCAACCGGAGGTGTTTGGTTACAAACCATGTGGGCAATGGGCAATCTAGAAGAGGTGCCATCACGTGAAAGTGCACGACTTCGAGCAACAACCTCACCCATCCATGCCCCACCACGTTTTTCAGAAGGACGGGAATATGGATCAAAGTAGAAGTATGCTATTGGACTTCCCAAAGAATCTTTTAAACAATAAAATCTAACATCATTATTCCAAACCTGAAGAAATGTAATGCAATAAATATTAGGATGCACGATTAACGAAAAAACATCAAAAATCAAGAAATGAAGCAATAGAATAGAGATTACTGGAGCAAGGCCATCAGCTGGCTCAATATCAATTCCAAACAGCATCTTTGCAAGACCAAAAAGGCCATCCATGACCTTTGGCAGGGAGAAGAATGGACGCAATTCTTCCTGAATGATAGAAAGGAGGAAGACAAATAAATAAGCCTCTCTTCACTTAATAGGCATGTTGTAGTGCAACAAAAATCATGCATGATGCACATCAAATTCATGTATACCCCTAAAGTGGAAACAAGTTAAAGAGAAAAAGAAAATCCATCAGACCTTGGTATGTGCTACAAAATGACTATTTAGCATAATAACAGGCTATCTTTCCTAAGTGCAATAATTTTTCCATGACATTGAAGATACAGTGCTTTCATAATGCTCAAATATATTTCCCACTTCTCTAAATTAGGGGTTCAACTTGGGTGGGCTTGGGTTGGGCACTTGTCAAAATTGAATGGGCCTGTCCTGAAGGTCCAAGCACAAAGCAGTGTAATAACTTAACTTGGGCCAACCCAAGTTGCACCCCTCCTCTAAACCCTACAACCTCCTTTATGCCTACAATCAGGCAAGTTGATGCATCCAAACCAACAAATGCACAATGATTTTTGAACAGAACGAAGCCCAAAATGGCAAAATTTGGAGAACAGTCCACAATACTGTGATTGCAGAAACTGATGATATTCCCTGAACGATCTGAACTTGTGTACTTTACTTGGAAAAGTATGCACAACTAACACCTGGCTCACGTTTCCAACAATGTTAGATGCTTGCTTTGTTGGTTATAGAGAATGGGCAAATTTGGTTTACATTCCCAAATTACCATCAAAAGTATTAAAATCATTAAAAAGTACTGTCCAAGCTCAAATGCAGTAAAAGATTCTTAAAAATTTGCAGAAGTAGAACAAAGATCTATTGTCTGTTGCTGATGAAGAGTGAATACCAATAGAATATAAAAAATTTACCACTCAAAATATGAATGCAAGGACATGGAGGAGAACTCGTTCACAAACAGGGATTCAACTAGTTGTACTACACCCAAGTTCCACATTTAGAAAGATATAAAACGTTAAAACCCCATGTTGTATGCAATGCATCTGTATGTTTACAACTTTATATAACAACCACAAGGTGATAGACTGATAGGTAGTGCATCTAGTTTTAAGAAATACCAAAAACATAAAACTTTCAGTATTTCAATGTGTAAACAAGTGACTCTAATACATGATCTCAAATATATATGGAATCAAAACCTAAATTAGACTATAGGGATCCCCACCTCTTTTATGTCATACTTTGATTCACGAAGTCTCTCACTCCAAAAGGCAATGTCCCAGTGGCTCAAATTATTAGCTTCTTTGACACCTTTTTCTTTGGAGAATCTCTTAATGTCTTCCATATCTACAAACATCGAACAAATATTTTAGATCACCAAATTTCTCTAAACCTAATGAACTTGTCTTCTAAAACTGAAAAATGTCCACATAAGGAAGTCTGGAACGATAAACTGCAGAGAAAATAAATTCTAAAAGATACAGAAGAGTAGATTAAATCAGGCAATGCTATGACTGTAATAACTTTGAAAGAACTCAAAAACCTAAAGCGTGCTTAACTTAGATTTATTTCCATGTAATCTAATTATCTCCATCTTATGCAGGTGATAAATTTTAAATAATTACACCAAGAACCCGTGGAAAATTGAGAACATTTGGTCCTTTACTTGTTAAGGAAGGAGGAAGTGATGCAAGATACACAATTTGCTTACTTTTAAGGCAATCCCCATTGACATTTTGAACTCTTAAAAAGAAGCACATAGTTCTGTCAAATGCATATATATATATATAACTCATATTCTAGAAAGATTTCCATTATCAACTAGAGTAACGATTACCCAAAAAATAAGAAAAAAATAACTAGAACTGCCACCCAGGTGACTTGTGTCAGAATAGGATTGTCAACCAAACCAAGTGCAGCCCTAAGGAAGGAACAGTCATTGCATAACCATGATAATCAACTTAAGGCCAACCAGAACTTAGTCTACTTAATACCAACATAGATCAAGTTACATGGGGTTAGGATGAGTTGCATCTGGATGGATCAGAATAGGCTCATACAAATATACCTAAGGCAAAAAGCAAGTAGTAGTTAGGCTGGTTTTATCAACTGGTTCAGTCGAAGGTCTAAAGATGCCATACCAACTATAACTGTTGGTGAATATAGCCCAATTAGATTTGGGCAAAGTCCAGCCATATGAAATTTAAAGAGAAATGGTTTAGTAGGTAACTCTAAAGTTAAAACATATGACTTGCTTGAATCAGGTTCTAGATAGACCTGGTTGCCTAAGACCTAGCACAACCTAATAGTTAGGCTGGTTTTATCAACTGGTTCAGTCAAAGGTCTAAAGATGGCATACCATACCAACTATAACTGTCAGTGAATTTGGTCCAATTAGATTAGAGCAAAGCCCAGCCCAAGTTGCACCTCTATTAACAATGCATGTTCATGGACCAATATGTGGAATCTATGCAGCAATCAGTCTATGGTGGTCTTATATCCAACTTCTAAGAAATCTAAATTGGCCCTGTTCCATGAATCAGATTCCATATTTTGATCTGGCAATTAACTGGCATGACCTAGAAACAGCTAAACCAACTAAACTCAAGCGGCTGCCTAAAGTTGTGATACATGTTGACTGAGGAGTCCACCAAATGTCCTCCGATGTATGATGGCCCAGATTTTCCAAATAATCTACTATTGAATCCATAAAAACCCTGCCCAAATGAGCTAGGATGGGTGCAGGTTCTGGTGACTCGCAGAAGAATAAAAGATCACCACCAATTTTTTTTTGATTGCTAACAAGATAAAAGAGACTTTACGAAGACCTCAAATTATTATTCAAGGCAATAGAACTAGTTCCTCTAAATTTATCTGCAAGAACACAAGAGGAGATTAAACAGGCAATCTCCCTAATGGCAACACTAAATGAACTCTTGTTCTTAAAGGTTCTCTAATTTCTTTTTTCCAATAATCCTTCAATAACTGCACAAGGAACAACTTGATTTTTTTTTCTTTGATGATTGAAGAAGAATTTTATTAAGAAAATATGAAAACTGTTACAAGCATCCCACTAAGAGGCACAAGGTGCAACCTCCCTTAAAAAATGAAAATTACATAACACTAAGGATCAAGATTACAAAGTAGCCCAGTACAAATGTTCCCTCAAAACCCCTTGTTTAGCAATAGCGTTTGCAGACCTGCCAACCCACTGTATGCTAACATTCATGTTTCTTAATAACCAGTTGGCCTTCCTTGATAGGTTCTTGTAGCACCAAATAATTGAGCTCGGATCTGTTAACCAACCTACAACAATCATGGAGTCACCTTCAATTTGAAGGTTCTCAACACCAAATTGATTAGCAATCTGAATACCTTGTAAAGCTGCCAACAACTCAGCGAGTCTCCTATTCCCACTGGGCCCGAGTAGGCGAGTACAAGGCTAAGATATTGCCATCTTTATCTCTCAAACCCCCCCCCCCCATACCTGAGGAGCCAGGATTGCCTTGACTACTTCCATCAAAATTCAGTTTTACACAACCTTCCGGCGGCGGATTCCATACTATAGATGTCCTTTCCTTCCTGAGGGAGCTACTAGCCACCTCTATCCTTTTTTTTTTTTATCAGTAACAAGAAACTTTATTAATGATATGAAACTTGGTGAAACTTTAAGTACAAAGGCGGGAGGTAAAATGTCTTAACTTCCCACCAACAGAATACATTGGAAGAAAGTCAAAAGTTAGCCCAAAATATAGATTCCCTATTCACCCCTTGCTTGGCTAACCCATCAGCAAATGAGTTAGCAATCCTCTTCACCCAGCTGTAATGCAACACAATATCCCTACTCAGCCATTTGAATTTTTTCTTCTCATTGTTATAACTCCACAAACCGCTGTCTTCTTCCCTTAGCCACCTAATCACCACCTCTGAGTCACCTTTAAGGACCAAACATTTGATGTTCAAATCTCTTGCTCTTTGGATACCTTCCAGAGCTGCAAGAATCTCAGCCCTAAGAGAGTCTCCTTCTCCAATTGGGCCTGAGAACATGGCAGTGATAACCCCATCCTCATTCCTGAACACTCTCCCAATCCCAAAAAGCCCTGGATTCCTTAAGCAACTACCATCAAAATTCAGTTTTATGAACGCAGAGGGAGGAGGGGACCAAGAAGAACTACGAGTCCTCTTACATAGGGCAGAGGAAGCTATCTCTTTACAATTTCTTACCAAATCAGCCACAGAATAACCTGAGAACAGCTCCATAGTTTTCAGCCAGTGGGCTACCCTTACAAGTATTAGATCTAATAAGTTTTCCAGGGTTCTTTCCTTGTCTGAAAATATTCGTGAGTTTCTTTCTTCCCATAGGGACCAACACACTGCCGCCCTAATGCTTCTCCACATAACCTTCCCTTCTCTTCTTCGGCCACCTTTATCCAATTCCTTCTAAGGTCATCAAAGGAGAACAAATGGAAGAATTCTAAAGTTCTCAACCAATGAATTGCCCTTGTTAAGATACACTCTTTGATATCCAAGAGACTTCGCTCCTTTTCTTGCAAAATTCTTGCATTTCTTTCCTCCCAAATTGTCCAAAGTGCAGCTGCTCCGATGCATTTCCACATGATCCTCCCTCGTTTTGAGGGCCATACAAAGACTGACACGTCGAAAAGCAAACTTACATTAGTGGGTAAATTCCACCTACAACCAAATTAGAGGTGTAAATCAGGTTGTGCCACTCGCGGACCGTGCCAGGCTCGGCACAATCGTCTGGGTCGTGCTGGGCCTAGAGTTTTAGGTCCGCAAGCCGGGCCGGCACGGCACAACCGAGCAGGATGTGCCACCCGCAGCCCGTGTGCCGACACAGCCCATATATATTATTTATATATATAATATATTATATTATATAAATTATAATAATATAGTATATAATATATTAATAAATAAACAATTGTTTTCAATTTTATTATACTAATTTATTTAATTATTGTATATATAAGAAATTGTATACATCAAAATTCATATAAAATTAAAATTTTAAGTTTTTTTCAATTTTTTTAAATAAATAGCTTTGGCCCAGTCCACGGCCCGACCTGGCCCAAGGCTTGGCCCTCAGGCCAGCCCGGCCCGCAACATGGCATGGCACCGCACAGGCTTGGGCCATGGGCTTGTGCCGGGCCGACCCCCCCAAATTATCCCAAGGGAGGGTGGCACGGCCGGGGGCCCGTTTTACACCTCTAAACCAAATAAGGCAAAAATTAAATCCCAGCTAACAACAGCAAAGGAGCAAGAAATTAGTAAGTGGAAGTAGTCCTCACCATTAGCTTTGCAAAGAATACACCAGCTAGGGGACAAGCATATAAAAGGCTTCTTATTTTGTAGGTAGTCTAGAGTATTGATTTTCCCATAAAACACTTCCCAACAAAACAAGATAATTTTGGGGGGAACAGGCTTAGCCCAAAGCTCCTTTACAAGAAAAACCAAGTGAGCGGAGGAAGAACAAAGGGATTTCAAAAAGGAGGCACAAGAAAAGAAGCCTTTTGGGTGGGGAGACCAAATCCTCTTGCCTGACTGTAAAGGATCCAAACAAACATTATCAAGAATCAAAACAAGTTGAGAAACATCACCAAGTTCAGCATCCCTCAAGCCCCGAAAGAATCCAAAAGGTCTTTTAAGGCTGAATTTCCCACCCAGAAGAGGGGAAATTAGAGACAACCTTATTCTTAAACAAGGAAATAGAGTAGAGAAAAGGGAAAAGGTCTTTTAAGGCTGAATTTCCCACCCAAACATCTTCCCAAAAGAGAACAGAATTCCCTAAGCAAACATCATACCAGACAAGATTAAGAAACTGAGGAAGGATGCTATGAATCGCTTTCCAAGGAGTTATCAGTTATCAAAGTAGCCCGTCAGCCTTAGAAAGTAACCTACTGAAAACATCTGCTACAAGAGTAAATAGAAAGGGGGTAAGGGGGTCACCTTGCCTTAGTCCTCTAGTAGCAGGAAAGAAATCCTTCACAAGGAACAACTTGATTTGTTCCCTCACTCTATGAATTTGATTCTTTATGGATTCCTACAAGCTATAATGACTTCTCTCCATTGAATAATAGCTCAGCATGGTTAAACGGGCTTTCTTTGTGACTATGGCTTGAATGGGGGAGGGAGGGAGAGGGGGGAATGGGAACGAATTTCAGCTTACAAGACAAGCAACCTAAAAAAGAAATAAATTTAAAAATAAATATTATGGGAAGAGAATCTTTATGGATCCTACAAGCTAATAAAAACTGTTTTCCATTCAATAACTCAACATGGTTAAATGGGCATTGTCTGTGACTCAAGGTTTGATGGAGAGAGAGGGAGAGACAGAGAGAGAGAGAGAGAGAGATTTCAGTTTGCAAGACAAGAAACCTAAAAAATAAAATTGAAAGAATCTTCATGGATCCCTGCAAGTTATAAAAACTGCTCTCCACACAATAATTTAGCATGAAAAAATGGGATTTCTTTGCAACTATGGCTTTGATGGAGCAGGTTCTAGTCTTGGAAACATAAAGGGTCCTTTTGGAGTTGGACCTCCAAGAAATATATGGTTTCAGTGGGAATTTTAGGAATACCTGATCTTTCTGCTCAAATGTCTATCTGGTTTCTTATTAAATTTAATGCATGCAATACAAATTATTGATGTTATATTGTTATTATGTTGATCAAGTTTGTGTTTAGATAAGAATTTACTAACCTCCCGTGGTATCACTTAAGTTTGGGGTTTAAAAACACCAGATATATGGTTTACATGTGATGGAAACCTTGTTCTTGACATATGTTCCCCTGAACTTTCAAGCTCATAAAAGACTAGCACCCATTCTGGGGTATATACCTTGAACTGCAGGATCCCAAGAGGCACTACGAATCTTTTCTAGGAGCTCCACCGCTTTATCAACTGTAGCCATTTTTGTTGCCATACTTACCTTGACAGTTGACATAAGGAAAAAGTTACTTTTGTAAGTTTGTAAAAGAAGAACATTGCAAACAAATAATATATCATACCTCAGCATAGTTGTTGTAACCAAGAATCTTAGCCTTCTCCAACCTAAGTGTTAGAATTTGGTTAATGATAGGTGTATTATCAAGATCTCCACTAGAGGCACGTGTTATGTAAGAATGATAGATCTCTTCACGCAATGACCGATTCCATGAATGTTGCATAACAGAAATAAAGCTTGGAGCATCCAACGTAATCACCCAAGGCCCATTTTCAGCAGTAGCATTTTCATAACCCTAGTGTAGTTAAGAATATGAATATAAACAACGAAAATGGAGCAAAAAATGGAATGCAATTTCTAGGGAAATGGAAATATGTAGGATATGACAGGTGCAACTACCCAAATAAATTTCAACATGAGGTACCTTGGAATTTGCTGTTTGTGCAGCCAAACCAAGTGCAGTAGCAGGCAATCCTTCAACATCCTTCTTGTCTGTAATTAGTTTTTCAAACTTCTTTGTGGAATCTAAAACATTTTCCCCAAATTTTTGTGACAGTTTTTCCAACTCCTGCAAATCAATTCAAGAGTGAAACGCAAGGAAAAACCAACAGTATGACAGAGGTAAACATTTCCTCATCCCAAAAAGAAATGGACTTAGTGTCAACAGGTCAGGTCTGGGTTAGGTCTGGGTTAGGTCTAGGTAGAACCAGTCACGAACCGACTATTAATCAGGACAACCTGAAAACTATTTTTTATTTAAACAATAACTTAAAATTTAAAATTTTGATAATATAACCTTAATAAAATTGATAGAAAAATACTAAATTATAAGTGAATCATTTTTAAGTAATATTATCTATCAAATTGACCATTTTGAACATGAAATATGATAAAAATTATAAGAAAATATTAAATACATTTAATAAAATAACTGGATCCGGGTCTAAATCGGTTCAGTACAGGAAAGAACCGGAACCAGCCCAATTATTAATCAGGACAAAATCATGGAACCAGAACTGTTATAATCAGTTCAGTCTGTTTGGGTCCATCGGATATACCCAACCCATTGACAGCCCTAAATGGACTAAATCCATTAATAAATACAAAGTTACAAGTTCAACTTTTATGCAACAAACAAGATAATTGTATGCCAATTTATTGTATTTACTTTTTATAAATGTTTTTCACCTTTTGCCTTTGTCTGGGCCTTTAATCCACTTGCATGGTTGCATCTTAATCATGTTGTGTTTAATCAAAGACGCTGAAGTTATATTAATCCAGATTGCTACACTGCTTGTTCAATGTCTCAGAAGCTTTTTTTTTTTTGGTAATAAATAAAGAAGAAAATTTTATTAAAATAAAAGAGAGTACAAAGGAGAAGTAATGAGAGATCACTTAATAAAGAAAAAACACAGCAGTACACTATTACATCATCACTCCCCCCCCCCTCCAATTCCAATGTTAAACCAGTGTTTTAAAAGCGCAAGGGTCAATTTGCGCCCAAGGCGCACGCCTTTTTGAAGCAAGGCGCAAAAATACAAAAGAATGCTAAAAAATCAATAAAAAGAAAAAGAAAATTCAAAAAAATAAAAATATTAAACATAATATTAATAAAAAATATAAATAAAATTTTAAAATGAATGTTTTAAAAAAACTATTATCTAAAATTTAAATACATAAACATAACATGTAAAGTGTATTCAAATGAAATTTTAAAAATAAAATAAAACATATAAAGCATTTTCAAGCATGTAAAACCCACAATCTCTTTTTTTACTCAATTGCATTACTTCAAGTAGCTAATGTGATGTAAAACATATTGCATTCCCGATTCTACGAGTCGCCTTTGTACCACGCCCCTCAAGGCAAGCCCAAACAAGTCCACGTTAGGGTCTTAAATTCTTAATTCTCACATAAAAAGTAATGATTGTATAACTTTAATTGCCTTTTAAGAAGATATTTTATTAGAATGAATGAATTTACAACATTAGCAAACAGGGGGTTCTCGGAGCGTAGAATTTTAAAAAGGCGCACACCTGGACTGAGGCACAAGGCACATCAAGTGCATGCCTAGGCGCGCCAGGCGTGCGCCTTTTGAAAGGGATGTTCCTAGGACCTAGGAAAGGTGCATACCCTAAAAAGTGCCTTGCCTGTGCACCTGGGCATGCCTTTTAAATCACTGTGTTCAACAGAGATCAAAACCCAAAACCGAGTGACTCCTTACTACCCTCTAAAATTCTGGAAGAATCAAGAACCACTCCAAGATCCTTTGCCAATAATTGAAGCGAGATGATCACCTATTTTTTAAAGACAACATGATTAATATCCCAATTTTTTCTTTGATAAAGGAGAGATTCCCTCAAAAGCAAAGCACAAAGTTACAGAAAAAAGACTTATGGGATACAAACACATTACACTGAGAAATGATAATTAACTAAAATGCCTTCCCAATGATATCCAAAGTGCTTCAGTTTAAATACTTCAAAAACATTAGGCTCCGTTTGGATTGTGGGAAGATTTGGGTGGGATAGGAAAGGATGGGATCGGATGAGAAAGTGTGAAATTTTCACTTTCCATTGTTTGGTTATACAAAAGGGGAAATAGTGGGAAAATTCTTTTTCCCAAGTTTGTTTTGTTGGAAGAAAACAAGTCTGATTAAGGAAGATAAGAGGGGAAGAAGAAAACAAGTCTGATCAAGCACAATATTGTTAGACTTCATTGATTGTATCGTGTCTACATAAAACACAGAACTGGTAAAATGTTAGATATAGCCCATTTTATGCATTTTTTAGATGAAAGATAGCCTAAACCCAAATCTTCAACTAAACCACTTTGTAAGTACATGTAGATTAGAATCACAGAGATTGCGATAAAGATCACAAATTGTAAGTACACGTAGATCAACATTATGATGAGGATTGTGACAACACAAAGAGAACAACCTAGAACACTTGCGATAAGAGTTATACTTGTTAATGAATCCGACGAGCAAACACAACCGCAGACCCTTGCGATGAGTCAATCACTGAGAAACACTCCAAAGTGATAAACGTGCCCATTTACACCCGCAATGTCATGTACACAACATCGCTTAGAGTCATTCGGAACTCCAATGAATAGGGTTCGTCTCACACCCAGCCGCAATAGGGAACGACGACTTGCCTCATCACAGTAGGTTGTGTCACCAAGACAAAGTCATCATCCTAAGAACTTAAGAACCTTATTCCTAACACGTGACATGAGCAAGCTTGAAAAGGCCGTAGCCAAAGATGCATCATGTGAAAATCTTAAGGTAAAGGGGAATCCTAAACCCAAAAGATCCTCACTGGACATGTGGAAAAACCCCAATAAGGCTTCATCATCCTAAGAACTTAAGAACCTTATTCCTAACACGTGACATGAGCAAGCTTGAAAAGGCCGTAGCCAAAGATGCACCATGTGAAAATCTTAAGGTAAAGGGGAATCCTAAACCCAAAAGATCCTCACTGGACATGTGGAAAAACCCCAATAAGGCTTACCCGCTAAGCACCAGAGAATCGTGATCCACTTTTCTAACAAGAAAAGTCCTTATTTGTATGTTTCTCATTATAGCTTAGGTAGCCTCTCTATAGAAGGGAGAGACTCAAAGGTCTCCACACGAGATCAATCTCAAGAGTCCTTGCCTTCCAACCTTCTAACTCCTTCCCTTCTGCAATTTCCTTCTCCTTAAGACTTCCCCGACATCCTTCACCGACACAAACCTCCAGTCATCCTCTATCTTTCAAGAAGACCACCTCTTATGCCTTACCACCCTACCTACATTAGAATCTCTTGTTTAACTTCCTTGATGGGAACTGAAGCGCCTATTCCCCCACAATCGAGCGACCGTGCAGACATAGAATTTTTGTCCCACAAAGTCTATGACTTTGAGGAGCGCTTTGTTCGCATGGACCAGATGCAAACCAAGATGAGACAGACACTACAATTGCTCCTGCAACATACAACCACACCGAAAAACCCTCCTTTTCACCCCATCCAAACCATCCACTTAGCCCTCTGTCCATCTCGGGACCACTGTACCAGAACCCCGTGACCTTCGTCAACAAAATACTCACGGGCTAGCCCTACCCACAGGAAACACCACCCGAGCACCCCATACCTCCGGCTCTTCCACCCCCACCCCACTAGTCATGACTAAGAATGCTACCCCTTCTGAAGCACCTATAAGTTGCATAGAACTGCAGGAGTATGTCCAGAACCTCATAGAAGCTATCCAAAACAAAACCCAAGCCATCACCCTCCTTCAGAAGCCTTATTCAAACCGGATCCTCCACAAGCCCTACCCAACTGGATACACACCACCCCAATAGTGACCCCTATATGAAGGGCAGAGAGGCAGCCCTCAGGAGTACGTTAGTAAATTCGAGGACGCATTGGGACCCTTCGCCCTAGACAAGGATCTCAAGGTGCGAGAGTTTTCAAAATCACTTATCGAGCCAACCTACTCATGGTTCGTCAACATGACCCCCAGAAGCCTAGATTCGTGGGGTGAGTTCACCACCAAGTTCCTATCCAAATAGTTCACCCTGGAACGATGACTCACCATCGCCGACCTTGTAACTCCTTCCCTTCTACTACACTACAATTCCCTTCTCCTCAAGACTTCCCCGACATCCTTCACCCACACAGACCTTAGGTCATCCTCTACCTTCCAAGGAGACCATCTCTTATTGCCTTACCACCCTACCTACACAGTTTATCAAATGAAATATAGTAATATAAGAAAGCAAAAAATAAGTAATTTCATTATACTGTCAAACGACAATGAAACAATATAGACTTGAACCCTCCCCCAAATCTTTGGATCATCCTAGCCTAACATGTTACCGACATCATTAAATAGCTAAAACGAAATGAAAACAAAGTAAATAGCTTCAATCTACACAAAAATGGGATAAAAATGTTAGATCTAAGAGCCCAATGTGTATTTTATTAGTTTTACAGATGGAAATCCCGCACATGGTTTAAAATATGTCCCTAATTTCCCTAATATTTCCACGACATATTTCCATTTCCATGGGTAGCGACACAATTTTACCGGAATCGACACTTCCCCAATGAACACTACCAACACTATGTGGAGTACCACAAATAGTTTCCACAACATATTTCCATTTCCACTTTCATGGGTAGTGACATGAAATTTTACTGGAATCAACATATTTCTCAGTGAACACTACCAATACTATGTGGAGCCCAAGAGATAGTATTATAACATAAGTTGGTAAATATTGTAAATATGTTAAGTAACAATTTTATTGTCCGCCTAACTTACATGATTACCACTTTGAGCTAGCTCAATATTCATTTCAAACATGAAGTTAAATATTAGTTTTTTGTTTGTGTAATA